GCCAAGCTGTGATACAGAAACCATGAGGCGGATATCCCCATTTGGACCACCTTCAAAACCTGCATCGCAGATGTTTTTGGACGCCCTGGTGTGCGCAAACTTCGCGCAGAACAACGCCTACGAGGCCGGTCCCAACAAACTGGTGAGACATTCACCAGCTACATAGAGGACATCCTCGATCTCTGCCGGCGTGTCAACCCATCGATGGCAGAAACTGACAAGGTGCGACATATCATGAAAGGTATTTCCGACGACGCCTTTCAAATGCCAAGAACCCTGTCACTGTCTCTGAGGTCATCGAGTTGTGTCAAAGTTTCGACGAGCTGCGACGACAGCGTCTTCTCACGCGACGCCCTGACGTCCCGGATGACACCCTCTCAAGCCTGACCACCACATCTGACCTTCAGTCGCTGCTATCGCAGATCAAGGAGTTTGTTCGTGCTGAGGTCGCTCGTCAGCTATCGCTGCTATCAACAACCGGCCAACCACCGTCACCTCTGCCAGCAAACATTCGCCAGGTCATCCAGGAGCAAGTTTGTGCGGCTCTGCCATCTGTCCGTGACACTTCACCATTGCCGAGCCCTGTTGCCTGTGCCGAGGTAAATGCACCTCTAAGCTATGCTGAAGTGGCGGCTCGACCACCTCTTCAGACATTTACGACACTTCCCTCAGCCCTGCCGCTCCGACCCACTCCTCGGTTCACTCAGCCAAGGTCCGTCCAGAGTAGTGGACAATGGCGTACACTCGACAATCACCCAATATGCTTCGCCTGTGGGCTACCTGGCCACATAGCGCGATACTGCCGTCGGCGCGTCCCTGTCTACCACCAGAGCTACGACCAGACCTTCGAACCTGCCCTTTATGTGCCACCGCGCCCTTCGTTTACAGACTCTCAGCCCCCCGACCAGACGTCATCGTACGCCGACCACCGCCCTCCTGTTAACCGCCGCTCGCCATCACCTCGATGCCGCTCGTCATCGCCGATGCGTCGTCGTCCTTCATCGCCGGGGCGGGAAAACTAATTGCCGCAGTTCCAGAGGCAGGAACTGCGTCGCCAGCGAAAAGACCAAGGCCTCTCACTTCACCAACGAATGTTCTGGACGTACATGTGGATGGCGTCGCTGCACTCGCTCTTGTCGACACTGGTGCCGCAGTTTCAGTGATAAGTGCTAGACTCTGCCGCTTGCTCAAAAAAGTTATGACGCCACTAGCAAGTGTATCACTTCGTACAGCCAGCGCAGATCACGTCACACCGGCCGCTGCTTGTACTGCTCGTATCGCGATTGATGGCCTCATTTATGTCGTTGAATTGCTAGTGTTGGATTCCTGCTCCCATGACCTCATTTTGGGCTGGGATTTTCTCGCCGCTAATAAGGCCGTCATAGACTGCTCTCGCGCCGAGGTGGCATTTGAAGTGTTTGACGACGCGCCATTATATGATGCTCATGAAACCGGGGACAAACTATTTGTTGCTGAAGACGTCATCATACCGCCGCACCCCTTTGCCCTTACCATGGTGTCTTGCAACTCTCTCGGCGAGTCTAGTGCCCTTTTCACGCCATCTGCTCTTTTCGTTCGTCGCAAGTGTTCACCGCTACCTTATGCCCTTCTAGAACTTCATGACGGCGTCAGCAGACTCCTCATCTCGAACCTGTTGTCATGTCCTGTAACACTACTTCGGGGTGAGTGCGTCGGGCGTGTTTACAGTCTCGACCCTTCTGCAATTATCGACATGCCGGCTGGTCCTTCTGCCGAACACGAAGTCGCCGGAGTGACCTGTGCCTCTTCGCCGCAGACTGCTAGGCCGGACGTACTGAGCAGCTCCATCGCCGACACGTTAACCGTTTCGCAACGTGCTCAGCTTCTACGACTGCTGAACAAGTTCCGTTATTCCTTCGACTGCCAGCATACTCCCCTCGGCCGCACGTCAGCCGTGTGTCACCGCATCAACAAGGGTACCAATGCGCCATTGCGTCAAAGACACTATCGCGTGTCCGCAGCCGAGCGCCAGGTTATCGATGACCATGTAACTGACATGCTCAAGCGTGGCGTCATCCAGCCTTCGAACAGCCCCTGGGCATCTCCAGTCGTTCTCGTTAAGAAGAAGGACGTGTAAATTCGCTTCTGTGTTGACTACCATCGTCTTAACAAAATAACTCAAAAGGACGTTTACCCGTTACCGAGAATCGACGATGCCCTTGACTGCCTCCAAGGTGCGGAGTTCTTCTCTTCTATTGACTTACGGAGTGGCTACTGGCAAGTCCCTCTGGCACGTGAAGATCAGCCTAAAACGGCCTTCGTCACACCTGATGGCCTTTACGAATTCTGTGTCGTGCCTTTTGGTCTTTGCAACGCACCCGCAACATTCGAGCGGATGATGGACAATCTTTCGCGTGGCCTGAAGTGGAAAACATGCCTGTGCTACTTGGATGACGTGATTATATTTTCACCGGATTTTCCAACACATCTCCGCAGGCTAGATGAAGTGCTGCAGTGCCTAACTGACGCCGGCCTTCAGCTCAACCTGAAGAAATGCCGCTTCGGCGCAAGTCAGCTCACCATCCTCGGTCATGTTGTATCTAAAGAGGGTATTCTTCCTGACACCGCCAAGCTTCGGGCAGTTGCAGAGTTCCCTAAACCTGTGTCTCTGAAGGATCTGCGCAGCTTTCTTGGCCTCTGCTCGTATTTCCGCCGCTTTATTCAGAATTTCGCTATGATCACCGCCCCCTTGACTGAACTTCTACGTAGTGACTCGAAAAGTTACGCTTGGTCACCCGCCTGTGACGATGCTTTTGAAAAGTTGCGCCGCCTGTTAACCTCGCCGCCAATCTTGCGTCATTTCGACCCGACTGCCCCGACGGAGGTACACACCGATGCCAGTGGTGTTGGACTCGGCGCCGTGCTCGCGCAGCGCAAATCGGGATTCCTAGGAGTACGTAGTCGCATACGCAAGCCGTGCGCTCACCAAAGCGGAGAAGAACTATTCTGTGACAGAGAAGGAGTGTCTGGCAATTATATGGGCTCTAGGTAAATTTAGACCGTACCTATATGGTCGCCCTTTCGACGTAGTCACCGATCACCATGCACTTTGTTGGTTATCCACGTTGAAGGACCCCTCTGGCCGTTTAGCTCGCTGGGCTTTGCGGTTGCAAGAGTTCGACATGCGTGTTGTCTACAGGTCTGGCCAACGTCACACTGATGCCGACGCTCTATCACGCTCACCTATGTCCTCCGAAAGCTCTGCATGTTTATCTGCCGTGGACGAAATGGTTGCGTTCCCAGAAAACTGTGACATGGCATCTGAGCAACGCAAGGATGACTGGATCAGCTCTCTTCTGCGATTCCTTTCAGATCCGTCGACTTCGCCATCTTCTCGAACGTTGCGCCGTCAAGCGCTTCACTTTGAGGTCCGCGATAGCCTCCTTTATCGCAGGAATTACAAGTCTGATGGCCGAAAGTGGTTACTGGTCATACCTCACCATCTTCGTGCTGCAATATGTTCAGCTTTCCACGCTGACCCTCAGTGCGCACATGCGGGCATCTTCAACACATACGCTCGGCTTTCCTCCCGGTTTTATTGGCGAGGCATGTACACCTTTTTGCGCAAGTACATTCAGTCATGCCCGCAGTGCCAGCGACGGAAAGCTCTGCTTCATCATACCTCTGGTCCAATCCAGCCAATCCCTTGCCCAGCCGGGCCTTTCGACCGCATTGGGATCGATCTGTACGGGCCTCTTCCATTCACGGCTTCCGGAAACTGTTGGATTGTTGTCGCTGTCGACTATTTGACGCGATACGCAGAAACAGCCGCTTTGCCTGCTGCCACGGCACGCGACGTATCTTCTTTTCTCTTGCGGCACTTCATTCTCCGTCACGGCGCACCGCGTGAACTTCTCAGTGACAGAGGACGTGTATTCCTCTCTGAAGTCGTCAACGCACTCCTTGCCGAATGCCGTATCATTCACCGGACTACCACCGCCTACCATCCGCAGACGAATGGATTGACGGAAAGGTTCAACCGTACCCTAGGGGATATGATATCAAAGTATGTTGCCTCAGACCACTCCTACTGGGACCTCATTCTGCCTTTTGTGACATACGCCTACAATACTGCTCCACAGGCGACTACGGGCTTTTCACCATTTTTCCTGTTATATGGCCGAGACCCTTCCACCACACTAGATACCATTCTGCCCTACCACCCCGATTCCTCCGAGTCTACGCCCATCTCTGAAGCTGCCCGCCGCGCCGAGGAATGCCGTAAGCTCGCCCAGTCGTTCACAACCATCGACCAATGGAGACAAAAATCTCGGCGTGACGATAACCACCCGTACCCTAACTTTGTTCCGGACACTCTTGTGTGGCTTTGGGTTCCCGCTGTGCCTACAGGCCTTTCCTCGAAGTTTTTTTCAAAATACCAGGGTCCCTACCGCATTGTCTCGCAGACTTCACCTGTTAACTACATCGTCAAACCCGTTACGCCATCCACAGACCACCGCTTTCGGGTCGTGAAACTGTTCACGTACAGCGGTTAAAACCTTATTACGATCCGCTCGTACTCTGTTCACCGTGAGTCGCCAGGATGGCTCCTTTTCCGACTGGGGACGAAGTGTAGTGAAGAGGAATGCCCACTACTGCAGCGACATCGACACGTTGGCGCGAGGCACGAGCTAAGACTGCCTGGTTGCTGCTGCGACGCTGCCCGAACATCCGGCCAGCTCTTGCTGCTTTTGTACCGACGCTGATACCGCTTGTGACCTTGCGTTTACATAATAGCAGATGCTGAGGTAAAAAGCACGAAATACGGGACGGAGAAAGAATGAACACGCGGCACAGATCTACATTTTGATTATCCCTAATAAATATTTCGAGAAGGGAGTTCAGTTACGCTAAACTGGCTCACCTCCCCGCCTGAGTTCTTTCTCGTTACTTTCGATCCTTATCTCCGAAGTGTGATTCCCGTGTGCCTGATTTGTGTGTTGTGTGTATTCATATTCCAGGTGCTCTTGGAAAAACTATTGAGGTCCTGCTGTGGCCTGAGACGAGTCTATCTCCTCGTGCGTAGCAAACGCGGTGAAGAGCCTCAGGCGAGGCTCAAGAAAATGTTCAACTCAGAAGTGAGTACCTCACACTTGTTCAGGTGCACAGCTATGTTTATCTATATATACGCATGTCAGTACTATTCTTCGGCACGTTAAATATATTATTATTATTATTATTATTATTATTATTATTATTATTATTATTATTATTATTATTATTATTATTATTATTATTATTATTATTATTATTATTATTATTATTATTATTATACTAACTACTGATTAGTTAATCCCGGTTAGCCAAAAACTATATATCGCAATAGTAACAATATACGAAGTGTTCACATTCCTCTTCATGTGCTTTTCTGTTTTGTAACTAGATATTCGAACACCTCAAGCGAGAACAGCCAGAGGCCTTTGAAAAGGTGACTGCAATAGCCGGAGACCTGGCTCAGCCAGGTTTGGGACTCGGTGAGTCCGATTACGCCACCTTAGTGGACAATGTGTCCATTGTCTTTCATTCGGGAGCCACGGTGAACTTCGAAGATCCCCTAAGGCAAGTTGAACGAACACTTGCGTTCATGCGCCATACGGTAGCAACGTGTAGTGACGCAACGGCATAGTTTCATTCTTTGTACAAATGTCACGAGCATGACATTGTAGTGAAACGAAAATCGCCATGATATTTTTTTCCGCCTATGAATGACAAAATATCATCGGTGACAAATGAAACAGAACCGAGCCAAGCATTACCAATAATACAGTGAGCACCATCCAGTCATCACCGTGGACGCGTGCAGTGATTCAAAACAAGGGCCTGTAAATGCGCGCCTGTCAATAGTGACTGGACGGCGCGCACTATAATAATCATCTCTAATGATAACCGCTCTTCGGGTTTCATTTCACGCTGGCAGTACCAGCCAGGGTCGTAAGTTCACATTTCGTGTATGGTAGTATTACACGTGCCTCCTTCAGGCGGTCAACAGGCCAGTTCATGTGAGGATTCTAAGAGAACCTTCAAAGAAATACATTTACTACAACGCCTAATGCGAAAAGTAAGGACGCGTGCAGTACAAGAAAAGTATGTTTCCAATATTTGATATTTAATGTCTCGTCATACATAAAAATATTTAATGTCTCGTCAATAAAGGGTTAATGCTAGACGTTGCAGAAGAAAAAAATGCATTCTACAGTTCCGAAATTGTTACCTGATTGCATTACAGGGACGCATTTGAACTCAATGTTTTGGGTACCAGGAGAGTTCTGGACATATGCAAGAAAATGTCAAATATTCGCGTAAGTTACACAGCTTATGTCTTCATATCAGCAAAACAGCTCTTAATTTCTTGCGCAGTACATTGGATGGGCAGCAGATTACGGTGGAGCTCCATCCGGTGTGCGGCATGACCACCCTTACTGCGCATCCACTTTCCCTCTCTCTTCTTTTCTACACTACTCCTTCGCCTCGCAGTGCGGAGGCAGGAAGTGCCTGCCCATTACTACGCTCATTCCCCCCTCTCTTCGGCATTCCTCCCATCGCGAATGCAGGTCCCCTCCCTCTCTCACACCTCTCCTACGTTCGTCCCTTTCTCGCCTCGCAACGCCGACAGCGTCTGCTAACGACACGAGAGGAAGCTTGGGCTAGTTGGTGCGTAGTCATATTTGCAAGATGTTTCAGCGCGCGAACAAAGGAAAAAGGACAGGGTAGACAGAAAGAGCGCTGACCTCCAACTAACTTTATTTGACAGAGTGGCAAGAATATATACTGCTAAAAAAGGATGATAACAGAGCATGAAGGTAAAGTGCTAGCCTAATCTACACATCAGTAACAAAACACGTGTGACGGGTCATCTATTGCCTCAAAGCCCAGCCAGGTAATCACGTTCAGCCTGTGATAAAGCAACCGATTATGTGCTTACGCCTTTATCTCCTAGCAAGGGTATTTTTTCGGCTTCGATAATTTCTCGGGTAAGCTGGTCCCTGTGCCTTGCCAATATTGAGCACAGATCAAAGAGAGGGGTGCACCCACAATCTCGGCAATGAATGCCAAGATGCCTTTGTACCACATTGTGCACATTGTTTCGGTGTTCTCGGAGGCGGTCATTTATGCACCTGCCGGTTTGCCCGACATAGATGCGCCCACACGTCAGTGGAATCAAGTATACGACTCCCACTGCGCATGGGACGTAGCGTGTCCTGTGCGCGACAAAGCACGAGGCAGAATTTGCACGAGGTGTATTGACCTGTTTGCAAAGCCTCTGCAGTATTTCCAGTGCAGAAAAAACCACAAGAACGTTGGCGTCTTGAGCAATCTTTTTTAGCCTCTGTGAGACGTCGTGCACGTAAGGTAGTACGACAGGCCGGCTTTTTCCGACACTGTTTCGCTCATCCGGTTCGTCGCCTCGCTTCACGACAGTGACCAGCTTTTCCGCTACCGAAACGAGAGCATGCGCGGGGTAACCAGCTTTGGTGAGCCGCTCCACTTGTAGAGCGAAGCTGCGGTGTACCATGTCGGGGCAGGACTTCTTTAAGGCGTTGGCCAGGCAGAGGTTAGCAATGCCCCGCTTGACCAATTTAGAGTGAGCTAAGCTGAAAGGCAGAAGTGGCTAGCCGCTTCTTGGTTCATACATCCAGCAAACATGTCGGGATTCTAGCAAAAGCTTCAAATCTAGAAACTTCAGGTTGTTATCAGTGGGTGATTCATAGGTTAGAACCAGTGGTTTCAGGCACTCTCAAAAAACAGTCAACACGTCAGAGGAAATGGTCTGGAAATTTTGACTATCGCATTTCAACAACCCTAGAATCTCTCACTATGGGAGAGGGAGTGAGAGCAGAGAGATAACACCTGCCGGCACGCGGACACCGACAGACGCCTGACATGCCCCGACTAAGATATGCATTCGCATTTAAAACATAGCGCGAGCGTTCATGCATGTCGCGCAGAAGATGCCGCGCCGAGCCGACGACAACTCGGCAAACGGTTCCAACCCCTGCTCCACCGGCCCAACAACCTAATTGAGCTGGAGCCAGAGTTATGCAATCATGTGAGAATAACTCTAGCTGGAGCTTCAGGTGAACTACGAATTTTCCGCGCATTTTGCTCCACCCGCGCCGCTTGCCGCCCGCTGCAGTGGACCCCCTCCCCAATTCTAGTACAGTCTACTGGCGCTGCACCACCGTTCACTGGCCACCCCAAAGTTTATAGATATTTTAATGTATCTATATAAACGTGGGGTCACCCCATATATATAGGCACTAAAACTTTACCTCCAAGGTAATGCCGTTGGGAGATTACTCCTGAGCGCTGCTGAACAATAAAAATTCGCACCATGCGCGTATCCAAAAGCGGACGGCGAGTTTGGAATCCTTTGTCTCTCATCGCCCATTAGCAGCGATTGCCACGTTCCATTTGGAAACATCGGTCCATCACTGCGTGCTTTGCGCCTCCCCGGGTTTCTCTCTTGCGCAACGCCGCGATGAGCGCCAGCGTCAACGTCGCCGCCAGTGTAAGCGTTAGTGCCCGTTTCTTCGCATCTACACGTGGCTCCCTTTAGCGGGAGAGTTTTTTTTTTTTTTCGTACGCTACGACCATTCTTGAATATGAGCAACTAAGCCAGCGGCTTTCTTTCTAGGCCTTCGTTCATGTTTCAACAGCATACTGCAACTTTGACAAGCCTGAAATTGACGAAGTGATCGATACCTCAAGTGAAAATATCCGAAAATTTTGTAAAAAGTAAGTACGTCCGACAGTACTTCTGCCCTTGTCTCCTTCTCTATAGAACAAGGTGTCCTCAGCCAGGTTGAAATTTCGATCGTCTTCATGTCTCTCCCTTGTCGTTTTCCTTCACCCCATCTGCCCGAATATACAGAGATTTAAGTAAATCGCTAATTTGTGTGTGTGTGTGTGTGTGTGTGTGTGTGTGTGTGTGTGTGCGTGCGTGCGTGTGTGTGCGTGCGTGTGTGTGTGTGTGTGTGTGCGTGCGTGCGTGCGTGCGTGCGTGCGTGCGTGCGTGCGTGCGTGCGTGCGTGCGTGCGCCTGAAAACATATGTATCCGTCCTGTTGAAACGTAACGAAATTCCAGCCGGCCATTTGACAAAACTTATTTCTCGACAGGTATGCAGACAATGCTGCGATGATCCCTGAGGATCAGAGCTTGCTCGGCTATCCGAACACGTACACTCTGACCAAGAAAATGGCCGAGTTGCTGCTGGCGGATGAACGAGAAAACGTACCAGTAGTAATTGTGCGAGCTTCTGCCGTCACCGCTGCGCTGAGTGAGCCGATTCCGGTAAGCCTCATACCTAAATCGTTTCACCACGACAAATAAAATCAGGGGTCCTCTTAGCTGATAATTTTTCTCACCTTGCTGTCCAATGCAACTTTTATCGTTGAACTTAAATTATCTCCCAAGTTTGGTTCGCAGAGGTGGCGTTTCGATCGAGGTTTGAAATGCCTTGCGAAATTGCAGGTCAGTTGCGCACGTGCGCTTTATGTATCGAGCGTTCTAATACTCCCTCCAAGAGACTTATCAGTAATGAAGTAATCATTCTTCCTCACTACACAGTAATTCCTTTTTGAGGCAATGAATGATGTACTGTGTTACCATTATGGGCTGGTAATTTAGTAAAGTTACTTCAACTGAATGATCTCAAAAAAATTACTCATTATTTTCCCGATTGCTTTTTACTAAAATATGGCACGCCCACTTCCCTGATGACATAAAAACTGACGAAAAGAATGACAGAGGCAAGTTAATTCAAGTTCCGAACCTCGAGCTTGGAAAGTTGAACGAGATCGAAACTTTATGGGAGGCCTCATACATTATGCCACGCTCTGGCCACTACGCTTGAATATGAACGCAACATTTGGAAAAGCGCGCCGGCGGGTGGATTTGAGCATCGAATGCTGCAGAATGTTGCACCGGTATGTGATTTTCTGCGCTGGTTTTGTGGTGTTCGAAGTTGTGTGATGCTCAAATATTTACAAAATTATGAACCATCTACCCGTAGGAAACCATGATGTGATGCGAAGCGGCCGCGGTGCGCAGGGCGTTGACTCGGTTGAAACGGGCGTTGACGCGGGTGCTGGAAGAACGGTTTTAAACGAAACTCTATGCAGCCTTTACTCGAGTAAACATTTATTTGAAACGCTATGACACAGGAGGCGGGTTGGGTTTCCTGTAATTTTCATCGTAGACAAACGATCCGAAAGAGTGTTTTCTCTTGACGTGCGGTCGAGCGTTGCGGACGATGGTGAGGGTGAAGCGAGAGAGCAGTGTGTCGTGAGCGGGCGTAGGAGCAATACCACCTTGGTGTCGTGGGAGGAGCCGGCAGCTGCTGAGAGTGACGTCAACGCGCAGCTGCGACTTCACCTACTTGGCATCGTTCCAAAAGCTGCGGCGGGGGGGGGGGGGGCACATGGTGCGGAGCGTTGGCACGGAGACACGGACGGAAAGGGTTACACAGGCTAGTCAGAGAGCTGCTTCGCATCTAATAGTGAATGTGCTTTGCGAGTCGGATTGAATTATCCAAGTTTCAAGTACCCGCACATCTTCAGTAATTTCATTGTTATTAAAAGGTAAGCCACAATGCAATGTTAATGATTTCAGCCATCTGTAATTTGTAATTTCGTTTAAGTACTTTTTAGGAGTAGTCTTGCCATCTCTCCTTCAAGATAAGGTGATGAACGACTCAACCCTATCACAGGTGCTAAAATTCGCTATCTGTCGCAGACACGATGTTGCTGAATGCCAATTTCATAATTAATCGAACAAATTCGCACGTTAGATCTATGAATGTATCGCTTGAAATATGCATGCTTCTCGACAGTAAAAGCATTATTGAGTAAAAAATAAAAGAGAGCTTTACAAATGAGCATTCACGGCATATGAAGTGACCACTTAAATGTTTATTCCTTTTTTTCTATTATCTTAAGGGCTGGCTTGACAATTATAAAGCCTGTACGGGCATCGTCGTGGCGGTGAGTAGAGACAGCACCATTGAATGATTTTAGTATTTATATCTTAAAGTGAATTTCCGCAAAACAACGCGAACTATTAGAGTCTTGTAGACGCTGTCGTGTTTGTTTTCACACCGTTGTAGCTGGGTACAGGCCAGCTGTCTTCATTGATTACGGACAAGAAGTGCTTGGCCGACATCATTCCAGTAGACATTGTGGCAAACACACTCATATGCATCGCCTGGCACACTTCTACAAAAAGGCAAGTGCGTGATACATCGTAGCATGACCAATGAATTCGCCAATGTAATGTAAGCACTGGCGCTAATATAATGGAAGCACTGGCGCCAATATAAGCACTGGATATAAGCGCTGGCTAGATATCTGAGGAGCAGATTGAGGAACTATAATAGTGCATAGCAGAGGGAAAGTCAGTTAACTGTCTCTCTGTTGACGTGTCAAATGGATATTTCACGAGTTCGGGACAGTCACTTACAACGAAACTAAACAGCCCACAGCGCACTTCGTGTTCGGATGTGCGTCCATATTTTCGTTTTCGCCCTCACACATAGATCCGACAGGACTTGTTGCTGAGCTAGTTGATTCTACGCTTGAGAAAGCTGGTAATTAAAGTACTAAAAGAACAGCAATGAAGAAAACAGTTCTTGTTTGTCAGAGACCATTTCTTTCTTCGTGCCCTCCTTTTTTGCGCCTCACCAGTTTTTATAATGCAGATCCAGCATACTTTTATAGCTTAAGGTGACGGCTGTTCGTGCATGTTTGTGTTCATGCAGTCGTAGAGGGGGGGGGGGGGGGGGGGGGGGCGAGGCTGCATTTTTCGCCAGACGCATCTCCTGTTTGTGTCATGCGGATCAAGGCAGTACATGAATTTTGTCGGGTTATAAGCACGACACATACCGATACCCAAAGTCTATGTTAAATTCAAATTTATTTCCACCTTGTACAATCTCACAGATGGAGGACAACGGGAAAAAAAAAAAGCTGCCGAGAGGCGGCTTGACTAGATCGTACGCCAAAATAACCTATGGCATGTGGGTAACAGCAAAAAAAAAAAGCCCCATGCCCCATAAATTCAGCTGTGGCGATTTATGACCGATGCCAGAGGTTCATAGGGATAGAGTTCAAATGACTAAGCGCTGTCTTTAAGTTCGAGAGAAATTGTTTATATGTGCATGTACTCTTGAAAAGTTGTACTACTTCCTCTGGCACCATTGCCTTGTCCCTTTCGTACGAGAAACTGAACCCTCCTACGCAGTCAACAGGCTCAAACGTATTTTTTTTACACCTCCCAAACAAGCTCGCGCTAGAGTTACACTATATGCCATCACTAAAAGGTAGCATAAACAGTAACTCTACCTCGCGCATCTTTCGTACGCCTGACCAACCTCCATCCACGCGCAGTGACGTCAACTCGGCGACGTTGACTTCGTTACTGTTTGCTGAGACCTGGTTTAGACCAATTGACGAGCTCCGCGCTGCGTCACGTCGCCAAGTTGACGTCACTGCGGGTGGAAGGAGGTTGGTTAGGCGTAGGAAAGATGCGAGAGCTTGTTTGGAGGCGTAAAAAAAAAGCTGGAGCCTGTTGGCTGGGCCTTTACAGCTCATTCCATGCAGTTGAATCCACTTATAACGATACTCTAGAGCCACGAAAGTCCCAATGTTATAAGCGATAGTTGTGATACATGAGTTGCAAGGGGGGACACATAGGAGGACAATAGGCTGCCGATAGTTGTGATACATGAGTTGCAAGGGGGGACACATAGGAGGACAATAGGCTGCAGTGAGAAAGTTGAAATATCGCATCGGATGTACTAACATCAGTAATAAGGAAAACATAGCTGCGGTTTTCTCGAACATATTCGAAAATTCTGACGTTTTCAAAATACTGTCACGAGGGCTATAAATTCAATCTAAAGACCGACTGCAATTTCGGATGAAATTTCAAGAGTAATTTTTTCAGAACTTTTGGCTAAAATTGCATATCCAAAACAGCAACAGCTGAAGCCACCAACACTCCTGCGTCGATCCTCTAGCAGGCTCGAACTAGCACTGTCCCTAGTGCATGTTTCCGGCCTTAGCAACAATAAATATCAGCTTTTGCTGCAAGACCACATCGATATGCAGGGAAACATACGGTGAACTCAAAGGGGTTACTGTTTGTGCACGGGCCAACGCCACCTTGGTATGTCGTAGCTTATTCAAGTTCGAAGATGTGAAAGAATTCTGACGGGTGAGGAGCACATGTTTGAAAATATCGAGGAGACTGTAAAACACACATCCTATTGTAAGGACGTGTGAGCTGGCGGGCGGTGGTGCAGCAACTTGAAATTCCCGTTCATCTACGTCTTCTTCAAAGATTTTATGTTCATCATCTTCCAGAACGGACATCCAGCAGCCATAATTAATTGTTATACCCAATAATACGACGTGGAACCGTAATTTCAATCGAGTTGTTCCACCACAGAAAGTGTGCAAAAGTCATCAGTGGATAAGTTTCTTCCTGTTATGTCTAATATATTGCTAAAATAGGTATCGTTACAAGTGGTTTCGATTGTGCTCTGATGCACCCAAGTGCAGTGTAATTGGGTAACAGAGCGTTAAAGATGATTGCGCACTGGGAAATGAACTAGAAGAGGAGAATTCAAGACCAAGCTACACTAGCGTGGTAATTTCACGACTACAAATTGGGCAGTTCGCAATGCTGTGCTTTTAGCGATACCGTTGTGCTGTCGCTTTGCTTTTTTTTTAAGTATTGCCATTATGTCTCACATTGATACACGTATACTGGTTTCCCGCTGCAGACCGACTGGTGTGAAGGTGTACCACTGTGCGAGCGGCTCCCAGCAGCAACACACGTGGGCTGAAATGGCTGACGCGATGCAGAAATCCATCTTGCGACACCCGCTGCCAAATGCCGTCTTCTATCCAAAGTTCTCCGTCAACAACATCTATATGTGGCATAACATCAACCTCTACTGCCTTCGTTACCTGCCCGCACAGGCCGCAGACCTTGGCTTGATGCTGATTGGAAGAAAGCCAAGGCTGGCATCACTTCTCACACTGTCCTGCACGCTTTGGCATAAAATGATAGTCTAGATTAGTACAATTAAGTGCTCCCAATAAGGACACGGAAGCTGGATCAGCTAGAGAACCTTACTTGCAGCTTTCAACTTTTGTCATAGCAGATAAAACAATAAGCAGTGCGCACACTACTAATAGATAGTGCAAGTTATACTACGGCATAAAAATAAAAAATAATACTGAGCTAAATGCCCCATCACTACTATGCCCTTTCTCTCCACGCAATATCATTGCTTGATCAAACATTTAGAGCTGTACATGAGCTGTGTTGAAATAGTACAATCTGTTAAACGGGACTGCTCGTGTAGGTCGGGTAAATATCAGCGCAAAGCGGAGGCTTTGCCATCAGTGTATTTCATCGACAATTCCTCGCTCGTCCTTGTAGTAACTCCGGGTTCTTTTATTTTGTGGATTACTAAAACAATTTATTCTGCAGATACGTGCAACGTTACAAGAATATTCGCAAAGTCATGGACATTCCACGTTTTTTCATTAGCCATGGCTGGCTATTTAGGACTGAAAATGTTGTGAGCCTTGCACGAGAGCTCACCCCCAAGGATAAGCAGGTAAGTCCTTAAGTCTGTAGATGGAGGATGTATTGGCACAGCGCTGAAAAGTGAACTTACAATTAACTGGTAAGAAACTGCCTTAGAAGTTTGGTGCTATTACAAATCATTAACATTTCTCATACTAGAGAAATGTGCTCAGTGTTGGTAACTATTACCTGTTTTAGATTTCGTTCAAATGACTGTTACGTTCATGTCGTTTACCAATGACTACGGCATGTTTTTTAACGTTTTTTTATGTTCTCAGTGTAATACTGATTTATTGCCTTTGCAGTTTTTTTGTTGGATTATTTATCAACTTCTGTTGTACACGTAATCATTACCTACAACTGTTCGTGTTTTTCTTTTTTGTCCTTTTTTCCATAAGTCTTATGAATGTGTATTACTATGTATAATGATGTATAAAGACCAAGTCCTCCCATGTTTCTCCTAGAAATCGCTACATTTGCCTCTTCCTGTCAATGTGCATTCAAATCAAATGTTTTATTTTCCAGCAAAATCAATTTTTGTGTGGTTGATCATTTGTTACTGCTGGACTTTGTAGGGGGCCGGAGCTTTGTCAAGCCGCAGTACTGCGGCTTTTTTTTCCGTCACCCCCATATTTCTCTATGAGAAATAAAAGTTGATTGATTGATTGATTGATTGATTAAAAAATGGTGCTGGTTGTCATTCATGTTCTGAGAATATCCCCCATAGTGTCCTTGAAGAAGCCGGGACATATCTGCAGCTCAGATACATCCGCAGTGCTCCCTGTGACCAAACCCAGTTTCTTTGCAGACAATACTTGTATCATCATTATTTGTTTGTTTTACATATTGCCACAGTAATAATTGAGGTCGAGCATTTGAAGCAATGTTTCAAATATTGAGGGGGGACGAGAAGTAGATACGACAACAGCGCCTTCAACCCCCCCCCCCCCCTCCGCTCATTGACTCTTAAAAAGAATAGTCTTCGTATTGAATGAGAAGATGAAAGTTAAGCAATGGCGTGATTCTCACAATGGCCTACCTTTGGTCCCCCCGAATCGTCACCAGTGAAGGTAAGAACTAAACTGTCGTTTTTGTCAACACCAGGCGTCCCTGGCCACACTTATTGCCAAAAAAGTGCAAGGCCACAGTCGTTCACTTTAGTTAACTAAGGACAAACCCCATCCCGACTGAGTAAAAATATGGGGCAGTATTGTCTAGCACTAAGGAAAAAAAGAAGTGAACTTCTAAAATGAAGAGTGTGAAGAGAGAATTCTGTAAGGATTTGGCCATGTTAGTGTCGAGCAGGCCGATTTAAATATATAATGGGGAACATAACTCGCCCTGTGTTTGTCTGCTGAGTGATTATTTTCATTAACAAATTTAAAAATAGTCTTTTGCGAGCATTGCAGTGGGAAAACTTAATATTACAGTTTCATTGGTTGCATACTAAAAACTAAATAAAGTATAAGGAGAACCTAGGTATACTTGATCGTGTCATGCACGTATACGCGAGCCCTGTGAAAGGACTTTATGTTGCCTGGTCTATATGAATGCTTCATAAAATATCACTTAGCTAATCTTAGATACTTATCTAAGACATCATTGACTTCCCCCTTCAAATGCCTACGCCACGACACATCTATGCTTTGGTGACATTAACGTTAACTGCACAGTAAAATGATAAATGATTAGTAGAAGTGCTGACGCATTTTTTCACGTGCAATTTCAGGCATAACATTTTGTGTCAAGGTTAATTATAATGAAAGCTGGGGTATTTATATTACAGTTATTCAATATTGACGTGCGGAGCCTGGATTGGTATCCATATTGGGATAACTATTTATTGGGAATCCGCAAGTATCTTTTCAATGCCAAAGATTCAGACATCCCAAAGGATCGGAGCCACTTGAATAGGTGAGCGCATTTGTTCATGTAAATTGTCGCCTGCGTGTTGCCCGAACAATGTAAAAATGGTCTTTTGACTCAATGTATTATGACGGAAAAAAAGAGGAAATGTGATCGTTGGTTTATACAATCTGTCTTAATGATGCATATGAAAATAAATGAAAAAATAATTTTGTTGAAGATAATATATTCGGTGAAGAAAAGAGGGAGTAAAGGAAAGACGCGATGACACGAAGCCTGGCCAGACCGGCTGGCTACCCTGTGCTAAGGAAGGGGGTAAGGAGAAAAAAAGATTACAAAAAAGCTACGTTACAATAGCAAAAAAAGGAAAGGAAATAGAATAAAGGGAACAATGTGATAAACAACAATGCATGAAGTCTGTTTCTAAAAAACCTATTGTCCGCAAGAAACACAACGGTGCTCTCAGCCTTCCACGCTGAGGACAGTCTCGGCAAGTGCCCTAGGGCCCTTTCCTCCGACAAGGAAAGATTGTCAAGTCTATCTAACAGTTTTGAAAGTTCTTTTTTGGGTGCATAGAAGTGCCAACACTGACAGAAAAGATGGACGATTGCCTATTGGTCATTTCGGTCCAAAATAGGTATATTCGTGAAAGGCGACCCAAGCCCCAGGCGGAACAGGAGCGTCTCCGCGGCACTAGTTATTTGAGACAGAAGACTCATCTGTACACTCAGGTACAAGTTATGAATACGAGCGTTGGTGAATTCCATCAAATTCCACAGCACAAGTGTCGATTCATGTGCGATCGAGCACTTGCCTTGTATACCTGCATCCGTTCTGGGTATAGGCCTACAAGGAAAACACCATGAGAAGATCGTGTGGCCTCATCTGCACGGTCATTTCCGTAATTATCACAACGGCCCGGTATACACTGACATGCCACGTTGTGCTTTTTCTCCATATGGCGCGATAATGAAGAAGTTATCGGAAATGGTTATTGGTTCAAGTGAATGTAGGCACCACAATGAAAAACACTTTATATGAACGCTATACGTCTTGTGTTCGGCACATTAACGTTACAGTCAAGTGTCACCGGTGCGCCCCCCAATCCACTAAATGTCTCGAACACGCTGCCGACGACTTAACGCAAAATAAAGTTGTGTCACATTGCTAAACATAGTAATCGCAATAATTTCTCACCTATTGTTGCAATTATTTGAGCTTCATTGTTAATAATATGTTATTGTCGGTGTCTAGTGTTTGAAAACTACTATTTGAGTATAAAGAACACCTTAGTGAAACTGTTCAGGAATTTCGACTACCTGCGATTCTTTGACGTGCCTTCATCAGAAATGGGGCTGGCACGGCCAGCATTCGATCCCGAGACCTTCGGGTCAGCGATCAAGCAATACCATGGTGGGTAGCACTCTAATCGGGTAGCTACAGAGACGAGACTGGTCGCAGGCTTTCCCCCTTTCTTCTTATTTGTGAGGCATCCCATGCAATCAGTGTAAGTTTGAATGAAAACTCTATATTACTATGAGTGGCGCCCAGGCTTCAGACTTCATGAAAATCAGTATCGATTTTTCAAAATGTGACGTTTAATCCCCTTCAGAAATGACTCATATATAGAATATTGGAAAGAAATTGTTTCAAATGACAACGTTAGGTACAACAATAAGTTGAAACTATCTACGCCTGCCCTCCTTCCCTTGCGAAAAGGGGTCCCATGCAAAAAGGGGCTAGTGAAAAAGCAGTCTCTCGCTATTTTCACTATCCTGGTTTTTGTGAGGCTAAATTTCGCGAATGCGGCCCTCCAGCTGAGGCGAGCCTGGGACCCCTGCGTAACATTAGCACACTGTTGCCATAGCAACAACTTGGTTACATACATTCTCAATGCTGTTTCGCATACTTAGAGTGCCTTAACTACAATAGGTACGTACACGTACCTGTTTGCAATGCTAATCAACGTATCGTTTTATTCAGAGTAATATCTGACAGACTTCTTTGTTACTGTTATACTTCTTTGTTACTGTTGCACATATCGAAGATGTTTCTTCCAAGTCGAGTATCACAAAAAAATGTATGACCAATTACGTCTATATCGCCAGTTGAGTATTATGCAAAAAGTGAATGTTCCCCGATCATTCCTGCTTGAATAGAGCGGCTACCATCAGGATCGGTCAACATACGTCAGGTAAATACACCCTTCGGGCCAGAGGCACTCTGCAAAGAACGGTCACCTCGCCCTTGTTATTTAACATAGTCATGAAAGGCTTATCGGAGAGGCTCAGCACCCTACCCAATATAGTTCCATCAATTTACGCGGACGATATCACGATTTGGTGCCCGGAAGGATCACTCGCAGATCTAGAAAATGTGCTGCAATCAGCCCTAGACGAAACGAAGTGCTACCTAGAAGGCACAGGCCTCCAACAGTGCCCCAGATAATTGGAACTGTTACTGTATAGGCTGGCCAAGCAAGGCGTTAGGAGACTTCCACACCTGGACTAAATTCTAGGCTTGTGCGGATATTGAATTCTAGGTTCGAAGCGAATAGCGATTTTGTTCGAACGATATCGAATCAAATTCGAAGTGTATATGTCACATATTATAAAAAAAGGGGGCACATTAGTCATGGCTTATCTCATTTGCATAATATTTCTAAAAACTGCAAACAAGGCCTGTTTAAAATGCCATTTGGTAGCATCAAAGAAAGTGGAAAAAACTTTGAATAGTAGCAGGATTCGACTTTCAGTATAATGCATGTGATAGCCTGTAAAATATGTTACTTTTTAAAATTTCGTACACTTGGAGCATATTAGTCGGTATAACAAGCTTTTAAACTTGAAACTTCAAAATAAAATGATGTGAGGGTAATATCCTCATTTAACCTTAAAGTGGGGTATCGCGGCAGTGAGGATTCGCTCCGAGTACTTTTCACGACTCAGCATCACATCGCTACAGTGAAATCATTTTTACAGGGAGTTATATGCCAAATAATATGCATTTGAATAGATGCTCTCATGGCTTAGCACCTCTTCATTGCAGTGAAACTACCTTTGCGAGGTGTCATATGCAAACTAACATGCCCTTATTCATTCTTTTCAAATAATTCAAAATTTTCAATAACTTAAATTTGATTCCAAGCAAATTCAAATTATTCGTTCAACTATTAAAAGCATTCAAATATTCGCACTAGCCTACTAAATTCCCATCGTCCTTTTTGCAAAAAATGGACACCGCATTCCACCACTACATTCAATTCAGATTCTAGGATTACTTATTGGACACAATCAGACGTAATGCCCAAACCCTCATGCACATCACGACCAAAAGTGAAAACATACTGACTCGTTGCTAGAGTTTCAGGGTGCAGGGAAGGACTAGGTGAAGACAACATACTCAGGATTCACCGCATCTTTCTAATCAGTTACATTAACTATGTAGCTTCGGCCTTCAATTTGATCAAAATAGAACAATATAAGCAAAACACAATCATGTGTAAGAGCATCACAAAAGTACTGGGGTTATCAATAACCACTTGCTCTGACAGACTAAGCCAACTCGGTATGCACAACGACATTGATGAAGTGATCGAAGCGCACGTCACTGCACAGGCTGGTCTGGCTTTCATCAACTAGGGAAGGATGATGCATCCTAGACGCGGCTGGCATGGCTCCTAGAATGATTAATGAACGAGAAATGACCTTATCTAGCGGCTTGGGATACTTTTGCGGTCAGCCCATTCTCTCCAAATATGTGCCCGCAATACAATGTAGGGAGGCGAAAAACCAGAGCACGAAGAATATTACAGAAAGTGGGCAAGAATCATGATTTGACTGTCTTCGTCGATGCCGCTCAGTAATGGTAAGTCTTGTACATTCACGCTGGCAGTCATTGATGGCAACAAAAAATTATGCTCCTTGGCCTTGGTTAGGTTAGCTACTAGTGCTGTCGCAAAACAGGTCACTATAGCCCTGGCCATGACCGACCTCTCCCACACCAACATTTTTACAGGGTCACGCGCTGCCATCAAAGCTTTTGAATCGGGTAACCTAGGACAAGAGGCTGCTTCAATTCTGAAAAAGAACAAACCCTGGCACTCACTTCATCTCTTGGTTTCCCGCCCATATGGGTGCATACATTCATCAGACTATACCTAACCTTAACGAGCTTTCCCATGACCGTGCGCGAGATCTCACACACCGTGGCCGAATGGCGGCCTTATGGAGACAGGATGAAATCCAGCTGAAGGATGCGCTCTTTTTACTTTCTATTAAATCACTTCCCAGGCTTCCACTATCGGCTTAGTAGAAGGGCCTCTTCCTCACCTGAAGTTAGGTAGGTCCTCAGTCAGTCACATTTAGAATGCTCCAGACAGGCTCATTTCCTCGCGAGGATTCCTCAGTCATATCTCAACAGAGACTGATTCAAGTTATCCGGACTGCAATGAAACTTACTGTTCCTTGGCCCACATATGCTTTGGCAATGGCCTGCGTTACTTAATGGCCTTCTATCCAGTAAAGCCAACTGAGAAAAGCCCTTTGGGGCTGATTGCTCCATATGGAACTCCAGGCAATCCAGAGAGTCCAAGAAAGGGCGGGACATCACAGTGCCCCAGCCCCCACTCGGACGCGGCCAGCGGTTTCCCCGATAAGGGTTCGCGCGAATGATCCTCACGATCAAATGAAGTTGGTTGTCTGTCTGTCACCGCATTAGTGCCAGAACTAAATACAAGAAACGAATCGTAAACGATTATTATCAATTTCTCTTTCCATTGCAGGCTCTATGCCATACGCTTGTCCTCAAAGGCGCTCCTGCTTGCTTTAACGTGTCAACTACTGATGACGACGACACTTCCACTGTGGTAATGCATTCCCTAAAGCCATGTGAACGCTGCTTCTCCTGTTGGGTCAGCGGTCAACACTGCTGTGAGCAGCAGAAGTTCTGTGCCGCACAAAAACGTATAATACAAACTGTACAAACTGCCTTTTTAGGAGTCAAGAATGTCAAGAATATCTGTATCGGCGTACTGTCAAGTTCGGACCTGTAAAAGCAACCATGAGAGAAGGCATTAGGAATTGACTAAATCCCGTTAAGCTGTTTTGCACAACTCTTTGCCTGGGGGACCCCCCAACAAGTGTGTTACAAGTGTGGTGAACTCCAAGTGCAGGCGCAGCAGGTGGCACTGGCAGCGTGTCGAATACAGACATTCCTTTGCTCCCTCTGCACCGCCAATAAAGCATGCAGAGAGAAAGGAATCGGTCCCCAAGTCCACCGAGTTGAAGGAACAATAAAGCTATTTGGTATCGAGAGTCTGAGATACATGCTTAGTCTCTGCGTCACTCGCGCGTACCAACAGAAGCAAAGTGGATTTTGATTCTGAAATGAACTTGACAGTATAGTCCCAAGGACAAAAACAAAGTATTTGTCCTTAAGACTGTATATTTTACATGAAGCAAAACACGAATGCATGCGCGCATTAGAGAAGCACAGCTTGGTTTTTCGTGAGACACAAGTGAAGTTGTATACCTTTCTCAGAAAAATTCTGTTTGTTTTTGCAATAAAAGCTTGCAGGTGTTCTAGTATAAATGGATGTCCGTAATGTGAATAATTCCTCTATAAATCGGATGTCCAATGACCTTCACTATTTCATCTAGCGTCACCTCTTTGCATGAACCACCTCACTTGGCATGGGTGAGAGTTCCAACATATGCATCCAAGCATATTTTTTTGCATTTTTGCGCATCGTATTAAAATAAGAACAATATCACACGCAGTTCTTGAACCTTTGACGCTGCTCCGTAATCAGGGCCAAGATGTGCTCCAGCGGCCTTCTTGCTGGGAGGAGAAGTACCAGCACATTGTGCCTCAGCAACGCGGGGACCTCGCACGTAACCAGAGTAGCTATAAGACTGCACAAAGGTCAGCAACTACGCATATATGGCGGAGGAGACAACTTGAGGCCGTAAACAAAACAAACCCATGAACGGCTGTGGATGTCTCAGGCTGATGCAAAACATTGTCGCCATAAAACTTGAAGCTAAGGTTCTGTCATCCTCCAACTCTAAGCTCATCCTCAATCAATTCAGATGCGGTTGCCAGACAGTTTTGAGTGGGCACGTGTTTTTTGCAGCTCGGGTCCACACCCATGCATGCATGACGATGACGCCACAGAAGTGACTACTGACACTAGATGCGGCCCTGTGTAATATAAGGATACAAGCGAAGCCAAAGCTGCTGGAAACTGGCTCAGAAGGCCACCTCCACATTTTATACATGCGGCAGACCTTTAGAAATATCTTTGCAGAATAAATTTTTCCTCACTCCTAGCAACAGCTTTCTATTGAATAGCTGGCATAAATTTCTGGGAATTATTATTGCTCAACACGGTGAAATTGCGAGGCTGACATCTAAATTTGATATTTTACTTGCAAAGACTGTTTCTTTATTACAGAACTTTGATGTTACTGCAGCATAATCCAAAGTGGCCACGCACTACTGTCAAGTTCGCCAGCCAAATGCATTCTCTCAGCAACACATGCACATTGGTTGGCGCAAAGCTCTTTCAAAAATCAGTACTTCACCAAAACTGGCCGATTCAAATTGATTTTTAAAGTTGAGTGGCTGGACTAACTACTAGACAGTGCTGGGTGCACGAGAAACAAATTGAACATGCCAAAATCAACTATCCAAAGCGTCAATCACCCGTGATTAATTTCAATAGGCATGGTAACAAAAGAGTTAGACAACTGAATTAAACTCGTATCAAATTAAGCTTTATGAACAGTGCCTCTACAAACTGCTGTCTCAATATTTAGTAAAACAGTCAACAGATCCTGCAAGGACGTTGCAGTGTATAGATTTGACATAGGTAAACGCTGACATCCCCTTGGGCTTTATTTGAGAAAACATCGATAGTCACAAATGCGAACACTGCAGGACCAGAGTTAGCCGGGGCCACATGCATATTAAAAAATAAAACACAAGCCTTAACAAAACAACACACGTGCCCGATCTCGCAAAAGGCCTGAAGCGACGGTTTTAAGGGTTGAATAAGTCGAAGCAAGTCGTAGTTTAATGTGTCAGCCCCGGCATCCCTGGACTCCCATTTGCCTAATGCAGCACCTCATGTCTTCTCATCTTATAAAGAAAAGAGAAGCAAAAAAATGAATTTGCTTGCTACTCTTTGCACTGTTCAATGTGCCCGAGTTGTGGGAAGCAGTGTTAAGAGGATTCATCAGGCAAGGAGAGATTGTGCCTGCCTGTGTGTGAAACATTTACTGCAATATACAGGGCTGATAAAGCCACGAACCATTTCATAGCTTCAAGTGTATTGCTGTCACCATCAATGCTTCACATTTTGGATGAAATTGATTTTATTTTTATTTTTTACGCTTGCAAAATCGAGCGTGCATAATAGGTGATGTTCAACATGAACATAACATTACATTCAGTTTATTATGGTGGTGTTTCATTATTATGGAAGCTCAAAAATTTACTTCAGTGTGGAAAATTCAGAGCAGGAACAATCCAGAGGCATTACTTAGCACTGACTTGTCAGCACTCACATCTGTACAACTCCTCTCTCTTGAGCATCATGACTAACTGGTGTATGCAAGCTCCAAAGAATATGCTCATAATTTCTAGAAAACTCATCATACTTAGATATGAGATATCCAACATAAAAACTTAACTTTAAGTATTTTATGGGTGTGGCAAGATTTTATCAACACCAAAGCCCAAAAATTTAAGTCTGTCTGTTCAATTAAAGTGGGAACAGCTTACAGATTTCATTTGGGAAGGAGCGAATCATGCCAAAATCCATTTCACTTACTGACCTCTTTTTAATAGCGTACTGCTACATGGCAAACTTCATTTCGTGGCATAAAATGCATCAAAGTTATTTGCTACACATCAAAATGTAACATAGTTGTACACACATTTCGTTAATGTCTTGGCACAATGTAAGATAAAAAAAAAAAACAGGTCACGAACAGAAGCAAGAGACTAGACAGTATAATTATATTCAGCTCCAACATTATCAGATCAGCAAAACTGCCATGACACAGAAGACTCACTCAAATCAAACATCTCATCAGTGGTTGTGACATTCATACAATTGCATACGTCAAGATAAGTTTGCAAAAAAAAAACTTATATTTGTACTTGTTTACGACAATAACATCTACAAATACACGAACGGACCTTAAGAAGTAACGGAGGAAGGCATGCAATAAAGATGTTGCTGCTTTTGCAAAAAATGATTAATTCTTCAAAACATAACACACTGAACCAATGTGTCTCATCAAAGCATTGTAGAAAATACATTGACAAATTATAAAAATTTCGTATGATATACAGTAGAGCGCACAACATTCACCACAGCTATAACGATTCCCAATACTCTCAACAAGACCAACAAGCTTCCCCCCCAAGGTACAAAAATATCAACATCAAAGTCCAAATCAAAGTTAGGTCATAAGGCGATTTCAGAGCTCAACCTGCTGCATTGGCTTCAAGTTTGGCGACACCTAGAAATGAAATAAATACATGCACTCAGCATTAGTTGAGAAAGCCCGAAACAAATAGGTACCATGAAAATAAAAATTATTGCAGATAGTGGTTTCATAACTTGTTTTATTCTTTATCAGGTGTGCATAAAATATGTCTCAGGTCTTTAAACTTGCACAACATTTTTCAATGCTACCCCAACTTGCATAGCATAGCAAAGAACAGGCAAAAGTGCATTAGATTTTTCTTTGCTTGAAAGCACCGCGAGACATTTTTCTGAAAGACGGGTGTAACGATATCTCAATCTGTAGACCAGACTGGTCTGATTGCATAGACCAAATATACATCTTGGAAATGCACTACACATACGATACACTCAACGCTTGCTCTCTTCTCTCTCGAATCACACAAGTTTCAGTCTAACCATGGTGGAAACAACAGAGAAGACATTACGTGAAACACCAAGTCCCACAGATGAAAAAAAAAAAAAAAGGCAAAAAGGTTTTGATTTTCTAGGAAACCGGGATGCGGTGGCTGTTAACAGACTCACCAGGCCAGCAGTTCGCTGTCGAGCACTCTTTGTCTGATGCCAGATCAACGCCTCTTAGAAAGATACTATGCCTGGGACGTCACCACCTTTGCCATAAGAGGAACGCTGCCCCAAGTTTCGAGCGAGTGCTGTGTGGTGGCGCTAGCGACTGTACCGCTGGAACTGGTGAGAGCAACCATGTCGGCAACATTGTGTCGGTGAAGCGGCGCAGCTGGCTGCTTCTTGCGGGCGGTTGGTTGCGCGTTCGTGAAGCGCGTAGGAGGAGCGCCAGTTGAAGAAACTTTAGAAATCTCCGCTTTTGGCAACAGGGGTTGGCTTTCAAGCAGCTTTGCGGCAGCGTTTCAGTTGGTTATTCCTTTGTGCGCACTACAGCTTTCCACATTGGCACCCAGTCGTCTCTCGAAGTTGTCTCGAATCACTGGTCATGCAAGTAGCTGCCCGAAGGTATCTGCAACACCTTTTCCCGAGGCTTGACGAGCATTTGGGCACACAGCAAAACTATTTCTTGGCAAGATGAACACACGACTCAAAAACGCATTGCTTTATCCAGGAATGCGCCAAATAAAGGCAAGAAACGCTCACCAAGAACAGCTGTTGTAACTTTTTAGGTGCGAAGCTCCTTATGGCGTCTCCCATTCTTCACGTTATCATTGTAACCACCGGTGGACAAAGCTCCTTAAGCCGTGGTTCATGCGTCCTCGATGTATGTAGTAGGTAGTCACCTCTTGTTTAGTTTTTGGAATGTTGAAGCTCCTTAAGCCGTGGTTTGTGCGTCCTCGATGTATGTAGTATGCAGCCACCTCTCGTTTAGTTCTTGGAATGTCTTCTAGATGGCGGTACTTGTATATAATCAATATACAATAAAAAGATGTGAGATGGTGGTACTTGGAGTGTTCACTACATAGATGAACGTACAGACATACAGACGCGCAGACAAACAGATCGACCCACAGTTGGACGGACGGACGGATGCACGAACAAATGGACGGTCGCTTCGCCCCACTCATTACCATTCAGTTCGTGGATATGCTGCAATTTTTTTCTCATGCGTTTATTTCTCTCGATGCCTTTTTATTTGTGCGGCAATGTTTTCAACTGGTTTACGACATTGCGTTGCTAGCGCGTTTGAGATGCGTTTCGTCGCACATTAGTATGATCAACTCCTCCATTGGTTTCAACAACGTTGGCACTCTTCCCGCAAACGCATGTCGAGTCTTCTGCTCGAGTTACCAACAGGGCGCCACTGTGGGTTTGAAGGAGCCACCGCGAGAGGCTCTAGCAACTGTACTGGGCAGAAAGGAGGAAAATGAAAAGGGTAGGGCAGCGCTTTTTCAGCTCATGTCGCAGGCATAGATTTTTCTAGGAGGCATTGGCTAGACTCAAAGGGGTGCCATAGTTGCCATAAGCTTATCATTGTAAACAGAATGAATTGTGAAGAAGAAAGAGCGTCGTTGGCAAGCAACATCGCCACCGCTTGGGTACTGGGTGCTGGGCTTCGCTCGCTCGGCTCGTGCTGATCATCGCCGGCATCTGCTTGACCGTTGCTCTTGCACGATCGTGTTTCTTCGTAGGACCACCGTCGCAACAGTCGTCAATAAACCCTTTTTCAATTGGTGGAAGGTGCTGACATTCCCAGTCACCTGAACCTGGGTGCTGCCATTCGCCGTCGCCTGAACCTGGAGCTGCGCAACCGAACGCTACCTCCCATCATGGCTACCAACAACGCGCAACCTGGCTCTTCCACTCCATCCCCCAGCAACCCCGGCGTTCTTCGTTTGCGAGAGCCCAAGGTCTTTAGCGTGATGAGACCGACGTGGAAGACTGGTTCGCTAACTATGAACTGGTGAGCGCAAACGGCAAGTGGGATGACGCGGACAAGTTGACTTACGTCATCTTTTACCTCACTGACGTGGCCGAAATGTGGTATAACAACCACAAAAACGACATCACGACGTGGTCCATCTTTAAAACCTTGTTTGCTGACGTTTTTGGACGACCCGCAGTCCGCAAGTCCAGAGCCGAACAACGCTTGCGGATTCGCGCACAAAAGCCAACGGAATCTTTCACCAGCTACATCGAAGGCATTATTGGTCTTTGCAACCGTGTGAACACCACCATGCCCGAGTCAGAGAAGATTCAACACATCCTCAAAGGGATAAATGACGGTGCATATCAGCTGCTCCTGGCCCGTAATCCTGCCACCGTTGCGGAACTTGTCACTTTGTGTCAAAGTTTCGACGAGTTGAGCAAGCAGCGCGCCCTGACTCGGCCATTTTCCTCACACGCCGACTCGCTCTCCAGTCTCACTTCTGTTCCCGACCACTCACCAACCCTGCAAGAGATTAAAGACTTTGTGCGTGAAGAAGTAGCTCGGCAACTGTCGTTGATTCCCTTCACGCAGCAGCCGCCGTCCTCTCGTCTGCCCTCACCACTCCGCGACGTTATTGCCGAAGAGGTAGCTCAGGCTGTTCCCGTCGCTGCCCACCAGCAGCCTGTGGCCATGCCTGTTGCCCATGCGCCGGCTATGCAGCCCGTGGCCGCGCCTCTTACGTATGCCCAGGTGGTACGTAGCAGACCCCGCCAGCAGCATTTGCCACCCATGTCTTCAGTCGCTCCCCACTCCGCCCCATTTTCGACACCTTGGGCCGCACCACGAGTCAGCAATTCCTGGCGCACTCCTGACAATCGACCGATCTGCTACGCCTGCGGTACTCCAGGACACGTGGCACGATATTGTCGCCGTCGCTTCCAACCACTCCACGACGCCACTCGGCCGTTACCGTATGACCCACAGCCCATGCACATACCTGCTCCCTATCCCTCACCGCAGTATGGATGCACTAACTTTCCTGAGTCTCGGTCACACCAGCCTCAAACTCACTCTCCCCGCTCCCCATCTCCTCGCAGGCGATCACTGTCCCCAATGCGTCCTAGACCCGCTTCCTCCAACCGGGAAAACTGAACGCCGCAGTTCCAGAGGCAAGAACTGCGCCGTCGTCGAAATGCTCAAGTCCTCGCACTTCACCAGCTAACGTCGTCGCTATATTTGTCGATGGTGTTTCTATCTTTGCCCTCGTCGACACAGGTGCTGCCGTTTCTGTTATAGCCGCCCAGCTCTGCCGCTCCCTACGCAAAGTGACCACGCCGCTCTCTGGACTATCGCTTCGTACAGCTAGCGCACAACAAGTTCGACCTCTTGGCACCTGTACGGCCCGCATATTCATCCAAGGCTCTATGTACGTTGTCGAGTTCATCGTCCTTTCGGTGTGCTCGCATGACGTTATCCTCGGGTGAGACTTTCTGTCAAATCATCATGCCATCATCGACTGCGCACGCGCTGAAGTTCAATTTTCGCCCCTGTGTGACGAACCTTTGCACGAAACCCTTGAGCGGTCGCCAAAACTTGTCGTGCGTGAGGACACTGAAATTCCGCCAGCCTCTCGTGCCGTTGTCCCGGTTTGCTGCGATGACTATAACGATGCTACAGTAATGTTTACACCTTCCGACATTTTCATGAGCCGCAGAGCCGTTTCCTTGCCTTTCGCTACACTCGACGTCACTGCGGGCCGAAGCAATATTTTCGTCCACAACCCCCTTTCTGCACCGCTTACGCTACTTGCCGGCGAATGTCTCGGTCGAGTGGAGTACCTCGATTCCTCTTTATTTCTTAACATGCCAGACGAATCGTGCAGTAGCGCCTCGACCGAACTTCATGCCCTTTCCCCACTGGAGTGCTCATCGAGTGACACCTTCTCGAGTTCCATCGCCGACACCTTAAGTGCCCATGAACGCGCCGAGCTTCTTAATCTCCTCCAGCACTTCGCGAATTCATTCGACGTTTCTCAGCCGCAATTGGGTCGGACTTCCGCAGTGCACCACTACATTGACACCGGTTCGCACCAGCCATTGCGTCAAAGACCGTACCGTGTCTCTGCTGCAGAACGTCACGTCATCAACGACCAGGTCGAAGAGATGCTACGCCGTCGCGTTATTCGACCATCGCACAGTCCTTGGGCATCTCCTGTCGTTCTAGTTCGAAAAAAAGATGGATCGATTCGATTTTGCGTCGACTACCGGCGATTAAACAAGGTGACGCGGAAAGACGTCTATCCATTACCGCGCATAGACGACGCCCTTGACAGCCTACAAGGAGCCGAATTCTTCTCCTCCTTAGACTTACGATCTGGATACTGGCAGGTTCCTATGGCAGAATCTGATCGCCAGAAAACTGCGTTCATTACACCAGATGGCCTGTACGAATTTAACGTAATGCCATTTGGTCTTTGTAATGCTCCTGCCACGTTTGAACGGCTCATGGACAACACACTGCGTGGACTGAAGTGGTCTGTGTGTCTATGCTACCTCGACAACATTGTCGTTTTCTCTCCCGATTTTCCTACGCATCTGCTTCGGCTCCAACTGGTTCTGACGTGTTTAACCAACGCTGGGCTCCAACTGAACCTTAAAAAG